AATAAGTTAAGCAACGAGGAAGTCCTTGGAGAACGGGATGGGATTTTTGAGCTATGTCTCAGAAACTGACAGCCGAATTGAAAGGCTTGTTGCAGCAACACAAGTACATCTGTGGGAATAGAATGGGGAGGACTAATATTATAGTGCACGAGGTTGAAGTGTGGAATGCTGTTCTGACAAAACAACACTCCTCCAGGCTTAAAAATCTCAAAAGCAGCACAGCCACAGAAGGAAGTGGAAGCGACGCTTCAAGAAGACAGAGCCGAGTGGAGGTCGCCGATTGTGTTCGGTCCCAAACCCAACGGTACTCAACAAGTCTGTGGGTTATCAGGAGGTCACTGTTGTAACTAAATGGGATGCCTAGCCAATTGCAAGGCTGGAGGCACATGAGGAAGAGGTTGGACAAGCCACTTACATCACGAAGTTGGACTTATTTTGTGGCTGCTGGCAAATATCTTTGTCAGAGAAAGAAAGGGAGAGAAATTTGTGTTTGTACCCCAAATGGGCTACATCAATATATAGTGATGCCATTTGGAAGGAAAAAAAAAAAGAGAGAGTGCACCAGCCACATTTCAGAGACTTGTGAGCAGAGTTGTGGCAGGATTGACTAAGTGTGCCAGCTATATGGGGGTGGCATGGTGGCTCAGTGGTTAACACCGGTGCTTCACAGCACCAGGGACCCAGGTTTGATTCTACCCTCAGGCAACTGTCTGTGCGGAATTTGCACATTCTCCCCGTGTCGGCGTGGGTTTCCTTCGGGTGCTCCAGTTTCCTCCCACAGTCCAAAGATGTGCAGGCCAGATAGATTGACCCTGCTAAATTGCCCATAGTGTTCAGGGATGTGTTGATTAGGTGGGTTATAGGGGAATGGATCTGGGTGGGATGCTCAGGATTGATATGGACTTGTTGGGCTGAAGGACCTGTTTCCACACTAAGACATCTCTATAGATCATAGTGATCTTTAGCCATTTGTGGAAAGATCACACAGTACATTTGGCAGAGCTCGTTGAAAGACTAATGAAAGATAAAACTGGTCATAAATTTCAGCCAAAACTGAACTCCTAGAGGCACAGGCGATGTTCTTCTAAATTAGAAACGGATGGGTGACCACAAGGAACACAAACGACAAAAGCCCCTGAGGAATTGCCAAAGGCCATCCTTGAAGAAAGAGGTGCTCCAATTTTAGGGACTGAACAGATTCTACCAGAATTTTTTGTCAAACTTTAGTAGCGTGGTGGCACCACTGACAGATTTGCTAAAGAAGAACAAAATCTGTGGACAGAGCAATGGCAGGAGGCGTCGAGAATTTAAAAGCCAGGTTAACTACTGCATCAGTTTTTGCCACACCAAATCTCTCAAAATCACTATCGTCACCAGCAATGTAGGATNNNCCCCAAATGGGCTACATCAATATATAGTGATGCCATTTGGAAGGAAAAAAAAAAGAGAGAGTGCACCAGCCACATTTCAGAGACTTGTGAGCAGAGTTGTGGCAGGATTGACTAAGTGTGCCAGCTATATGGGGGTGGCATGGTGGCTCAGTGGTTAACACTGGTGCTTCACAGCACCAGGGACCCAGGTTTGATTCTACCCTCAGGCAACTGTCTGTGCGGAATTTGCACATTCTCCCCGTGTCGGCGTGGGTTTCCTTCGGGTGCTCCAGTTTCCTCCCACAGTCCAAAGATGTGCAGGCCAGATAGATTGACCCTGCTAAATTGCCCATAGTGTTCAGGGATGTGTTGATTAGGTGGGTTATAGGGGAATGGATCTGGGTGGGATGCTCAGGATTGATATGGACTTGTTGGGCTGAAGGACCTGTTTCCACACTAAGACATCTCTATAGATCATAGTGATCTTTAGCCATTTGTGGAAAGATCACAGTACATTTGGCAGAGCTCTTTGAAAGACTAATGAAAGATAAAACTGGTCATAAATTTCAGCCAAAACTGAACTCCTAGAGGCACAGGCGATGTTCTTCTAAATTAGAAACGGATGGGTGACCACAAGGAACACAAATGACAAAAGCCCCTGAGGAATTGCCAAAGGCCATCCTTGAAGAAAGAGGTGCTCCAATTTTAGGGACTGAACAGATTCTACCAGAATTTTTTTGTCAAACTTTAGTAGCGTGGTGGCACCACTGACAGATTTGCTAAAGAAGAACAAAATCTGTTGACAGAGCAATGGCAGGAGGCGTCGAGAATTTAAAAGCCAGGTTAACTACTGCATCAGTTTTTGCCACACCAAATCTTTCAAAATCACTATCGTCACCAGCAATGTAGGATTTGGAGCTGTGTTGATATAGAAGGAGAATTGAAATGCCAGTTATCTTTCAAAAGCAGCTCAATATCCACGAGAGAAAATATTCCACTGTTGAGAAAAAAAACATCAAGTTTGGTCCTGGCCTTACAGTATTTTCACATTTCTGTCACAATATCATAGAATCCCTACAGTGTGGAAACAGGCTCTTCTATCCAACAAGTCCACACCGACCCTTGGAGGATCTCACCCGGACCCATCCCCCGATAACCCACATCCCTGAACACTATGGGCAATTTAGCATGGCCAATCCACCAAGCCTGCACATCTTTGGACTGTGGGAGGCGACTGGAGCACCTGGAGGAAACCCCATCTGCCGACATGGGGAAGAACATGCAAACACCAAACAGGCATTCCCCAGGGGCTGGTATCGGACCCAGGACCCAGGTGCTGTGGGCTGGCAGTGCCACATGCATGCACTGCTTTGGAAAGATTGAATGATGAGACTACTTCGTTACAAGCATTTAATTTACAGATTGTCCATGGTGTGGGTCAAATGTTATTGCAGGTGCATTATCACATATTTAAGAGAAATGCAAGATGTAAATTGCAAAATTTAAAAGAAAGCTTAGAATCAGTACAGTCCAGTGTTATATATGCATACAGAATTAGTATGAAAAGGTGTAACAGTACACAAGATACATAGGTCCATTATCTAATGGTGTTTAGGAAAAAGTGAAGCTAACTTTTCATTACGATGATTCGTTCTGGAGGGCAGCATTATGAAATTGTATAGAGTACTTGTGAATTGGAAGGCAGAATTTATTGTACAAATAATGGGAGTAGGGGGCAAAAGGAAGATTCTGTAGTCCCTTTAAACAGGGGAAGGTGTTGCCCAAGCTTAGGTATTTTTCTAAGTTTCAAAGTAGCTGAAGGTGTACAGACAATTCTGAAAGTAATGCTCATCAATTAGTTGTGATGGGAAACCTTAGGCTTGTTTTGGCAACACATCACTTAGCTCGAATCAGCCAATTAGCTGAAACCAAGTACTTAGCAACTGAAAAACCATTGAATTTAAACCTGATGGTTTCCACAACCTTGGACCAATGCTATTGGCTAACATTAAATTTCTTACACAGTATACAAGGACAGGGTTCAAAAAGAAAAAAATCAAACCACCATCTGAGAAATAAACAGATGCTCTCATAGAAATCACCATCTAGCTGTAAAAGGTACCACGGCACCTCGAGCTAAATGAGCTCACAGAAGAATTCACAAAGAAAACATCCCTGACAGTAGGATCAGTGAAGGAAAAGCATTTATGACTGGAGACAGTGGAGAAGGCAGAGCATTCCTGAAGACACATTCTGTGTGGATTTGGAGAGAGACTGAGTTTGAGTTTAATTTTGCTTATTACTTGGGTAAAATAGGTGGGACTTGTTTATTGGAATAATTTCCCACTAGAATGTTGTTCAGGTCGGAGGGAATTGTTGGGTTTGTTAGTGCTTTGCTCATTGTGGGCAACAAGGTCTGTTATGCAGGTGAATCACATTGCAAGCCCAATTAAATCGGAGATTGGGCTGCACTGTCTTTCTCATTGCAGTCAGGATTTACGAGATGCTTCCCAAAAGCAGAATCATCTCATGGTGGATATGGCATTCCGAGATATACTGGCAGAGGCTGCTTTGTTGAAAAGGCAGCACCGTAATGCCTGCTGCAGTCAAAGGGATAAACTATTTGCTACCCATCTGCCACTGTCAGCAGGTGATGCAGGCAGAGATCTGACATCATGGTCAGAAACCCACCCCTTGAGGTATGTCTGGAAGGCAACATTTGTGACTTGCCAGCAGTATCTGGTTGTGAACCACACTGCTGTCTTAAGTGAAGCTCATCCTGCCTGAATTGCAGATACATTATGGATTTCTGACTGCAGCCTGGAGTTGGTCATTACCAGGCACGTGCCTGGTACCATGTGCAAGAGAATGTTTTGTGGGCTGCTTTAGCCAGGAGGCAGATGAAATGGTTACGTTCCAACTTCATGACCTATACACAGGGAACCAGGACGACATCCTTTAAATTCAGGATAGTAGTTTAGATATTAGACAATGATACAGGTCAAAGGACAGTTTAAAACTTACTGAACCTGTGCAATAATTGACAGATGCTGGATTAGATGGAGGCTGTGTCTAAACAGCATAGATTCAGTTTCCATCCATCATCAGCAACAGGATTTGCTAAATTTTGAACAGTGAGCAAACAGCACTCACGGCACGTTTGTCCATCTGGTTTATTTCTGTTCAGGGTTTACAATTCA